TACTGAAGCAGGGTCTGTTGACAAAGAAGAAGGTGTTGCCACTAACTCAATCCTATTGGTGCTTGTTTAATTAAATTCTGAAACTTGAGCTTTTTCCTCTTTCAAGTTATATGTTTATGTGCGTGTGGGAGTGTAGTTTATAAGAAGTTATGGTATTTCGGATTCACCAATGATATTTACTGAAGTTCTGCCTGATTTTCTATGGCCAGGAAGCTGTCAAGAAGATATGCGGTTGGCAATACACTAGTTGCATTGATCTATGGGTTACGTTTATATCAGCCAACATACCTGATCATGATCTTCAGCCCTTGCTCTTTATGATAATTCAGATTATAAACGGAGTGGCTGTCTTGTTTTCTGGACCTAGATATTTGCCTTTAAGAGTCAAATGCATTCAATGGTTAAATCAGCTCGCGTCTTCCTCAGGAATTTTTATTCCTATTGCCTCTTTAGTGGTGGATATTTTGGAATATAAAATTGGCAAGGATGTTGGTAAACCTGGAAAAGACACCAATATTATGTGTTCTGTAAAGGTTGGGAATTCGTAACTTTACCGATAGAAAAGTGTGTTTGGAATTGGGTTATGCGATCTGCTCTGATTTGATTTATTATTGTTATTCCATATTTTTTGTGCAGTTTCCAAAGAATTGGTTAAAATCGAGGAACTTTCAAGAACAGTGTGTTGTATCTGTTATCGAACTGCTTTCAGCACATTTTGCTCAGTGGAGCTATCATATTTCTTTTCCTGATCTGGCGACTATTCCCCTTGTCCGCTTGAGGAAGTTCCACGAGATAACTACTATAGAGAGTTTCAAGCGTATAGTGAAGCGCTTTATTGATCAGGTAGTCTCATAGAAGATTTAGTCTTTTACTTGCATATCTCCTTGAAAATGAATTTATTTTCCGGATTCAGGGACACTCAGAGACATTGATCTCTTTTATCCTCTTGAGTAGAAATTTGCTTGATGGTTGTACCTCAATAAACACGGGAAACCTGTGGAGTCCCACATTTCGGGCGGGCTGTCTTTAAATGCAGGCTGTACTTATATTATTTTACGTCTGTGGCATCTATCGTAAAAAATCATATGGCAAAGAATGTCTAAGACAGTGACACATTAATGGTTCCTTTGTTGGCTTTTGCAAACTCCCCAACATTGTTAATAAACTGCTTCCTTGGCCTCCATGGCTGGCAATCAAGTTAATGCGTTTAGGAATATTGGTCATGTGATAAAAAGGTTCTGTTGCTTGCACTGCAGGTGGAGCAAAACATTGAATTTGTGCGGAAGAAGAGAGACGAGGTGCCTTTTTCACCAAAAGATCAACAATCTGTAGAATCATTTCTCCAGGTCTGCAGCCATTACGACTGTTATTTTTTGGACTTCAATGAATATTACTTGTTTTTTTATATGTTAAATGGTCAACATGCAGCTAGAAAAGCACAGTGGCAATACTCCGTTTGCACAATATTATAAAAGCATCATCGACAAGGCTGCTTCTAGAAATTTGGCTCTATTTGAAAAGGTGCAGCATACATAACCTTATTTTTTGTGTTCTTATACCTTTTAACGATTGACTGGGTATGGCACCTTGAATGTTAACTATGGAGGTAGTTTAGCCATTGCACAATGACATTTCCGGTGTACAGGTAGTTGGAATCAACCCTTTTTTCAGCAATCTCATTAAATTTCTACTCTTGTGATGGTACTTGATCCAGTTCTCTGAAGTAGAGAAAATCAACAAGAAAACACAAAAGAAAACAAAGCGGCCTCAAAATGACAAGGTAACTCAAGGTGCCAATGGTAAACATTCGGAGAAAAGAAAAGCCAATGCGTCTATTAACGGTGGCAGACAAGGAAAGATGAGGAGAAAAGAAAAGTCTGAATCGTAAATCGTTTCTGAAAAGACCAATTTCTGAACCTTCATCAGACTCGCCGAGCCCGTTTTGATCCTTTTGGCAGAACAGACATCTTAGGTCAGTGTTCTCTATATAAACAAAGACATCTAGTCTGTTGCTTGTAATATTGTAAGGAAAGTTTTGTTTAACATACATGCAGAGGTGAACTCCCATTACTGATGACAAAGCATTTCTTATATTTTTTTTTTCCTATTGATTTGAAAACGGTGTTTTTCTTCTGAATGTTGGAAGATGTCTTAAGTTCGTATCCCCCTTCCCCGTTGACTTAGAAAAATAATCAAGAAAAGAGCATTATATAGGGAATCTTAGAGGCATGATCATGGTTGACTTTCTTTTTTTCGTTTTCTTGCTGGCCAAGTTTACTGGTTGACTCTAGTCTGCTATATTTTTAGGGTTCATATTTTCTTATTAATATTTGTGTTGCCTTGTAGCCTATCGTTCTAGAAGAGGCAAAGTACAAAGGGTAAGAGGGCCGGCATTCGGCGCCCATTTGCCTTTGGCAAAGGCCAAGTTAGTAATGCAAGCTACTTAACGTTAATTAATATTGATACCCGTTGACATGAATACCACTACTAATCTGGGGTGTTTCCGTAATTATGATGAAATTATTATAATAAATCATGTATTTACGTGTATTTAGGCGCACATAACGCGTTATCTGCCATTATATTTTAATGTTTTTATTAAGGGGCGTCAAGTCTGTTTTATATTATTAACTTGGAGCCAGATCCTTCAATCAAGTTTATCAACATACATTGTTATCTCCTTTTTCTGTGTATGGGGGCATAAGATTGATCGAGATTTTGATTTCTGGTACTAACGAGTGGTTGGTTTAGTGGTAAGACTTTCGAATATCCTCATAGCCGCTCGTTGGGGTTCAACCTCTTGTTTTTAGCGTGGTTTGGAGTGAAACCCACACTTTTTGCTATGCGGTTTTGAAGCCAAAACCCAAATGAAACCAAACTGTTGGGTTCGGTTCAGTGTGATTTCAAACGGTTTCAGTTTGGTTTTTAAAAAGAAAATATACATTTTAAAATGACACCTATCTACGCATAAATTGTCTCATTTTCTGGTTTCCACACAATACATTAATTAATGAAGCATGTCAACTATCAGGGCATTGAGTGACAATATTTTGATAATTTATTTTCATCTAAAATTGAAACAATATCTGCAGCAAACCGAACTGTTACAAAATGTCATAATCCATATTTGAAATGAAACTAATCCCTCATTAAAAACCAATACAAGTCCTCATAGAGCAGCCTTTTAGCTAGCTAGGTGCCAATTGCCACGCAACAATTGAAGGCTTAGGAAGAAGAAATGAGTGAACGGTTTGCAAGTTTACATACATACTCTGTGCAGTAGATAACATCAATGATCCAATGCCAAGGCAGATGTATATTAATCGCCCAACAAATAGACTTGCACCCTCAAATCTATGACAAAGCTATGCATTATTTCCCTTGCAATTTACGTTTGCATAGTATCCCATATCTGATGTAGGACAATGATATTCTGTCGAAGACTAAAGAAAGAAAGTGATGAATGATGATATTCTAGTGTGGTTGAATGATGATTTTTAGTGTGGTTTGTATAGACTCTAACAAACAACCAACTAAAATGTTTATTAATATTTACGGTGCGGTTCGGTTTTCAAAAGCCAAAACCGAAACCAAGTCGTTTCTTACACTGCGGTTCGGTTTCAAAATCGCAAAACCAAAACGTTTGGTGCGGTCCGATTTAGTTCGTGTTTCGGTTTCGGTTCCAAGTGCCCACCCCTACTAAAAAATGACTTGATTTGTCAAAAAACTCATCTGCAACAGATGGTTGAGTTATAATTATATAGAGCCTACCAAATTATTACTTGGCCAAAGGGCCAAATGTAGGCCTCCTCTTAGCCCATTTTCTGGGACCCAGCTCCTCAGTTGCAATAATTGATTCAAATTTAATGGCTAGATTTGAAAGCATTCAATGATAGTTTAATTAAATTAACTAATAAATTTAAAATATAAATTAAAACTAATCAATTATTTTCGGGTTATATTTAGCCCATTCGGTTAGAATTGATGTATGAATATGGTCTGATACTGTTTATTTAAAAATAATTTTTTGTAAGGATATAGTTATGAGCGGGGCTATATTTAGCTCTTTTCGATTAGAGATTGCATAAGTTACGACGAGGTCCTCTGTAGAATTGTCCAAATCACAAGTACTTCAGCCCTATATTTTTCTGCTTGAGAAGATGAACGAAGCCATGATATTGCACCAAATTATTTATGACCCTTGGATCAAGTATTTCAACCAGATTATGTACTCAATCACCAATTTTTGTCAATACCATATTCTGAACAATGAAGAGGAATGAGGATCTTCTCTAGATCCTCTTTGTGAGAATCCTAGAGATTCTTCAATCACATCCGTTTATCATACATCGTACGTTTAGAAATCATTATAAATTTTTTTATTTAAAATTAAATATAAACAGTATCTGACAAAAAAACTGGCCACATGATATACGATGAACGGATGTGATTGAAGGATCACCGGGATTCTCTCCGAATTATTTATGACCCTTGGATCAAGTTTTCAACCAGATTATGTACTCAACCACCAATTCTTGTCAATATCATATTCTAAACCACTTTAATATGTAAACACTGGTGAATGTGTAAGAGGACGATGACGCTGCCCTAATCAGCTGACATGATCCCGTCTCATAGTCAGTTGCCATTATTAGACAACATAACTAAAGTAAATGTAATGATAGTCATTCTCTTAGTTATGGGGTTCCAATTAGTGATATTCATGCCTCCATTCCAAAAAAATAAAAAAAAATATACAAAAAATACAAAAATGTAGGATTCTAATATTGCAAAAATGTGATTGAATATTTAAGTCACTATCTTATCCATCCCCATGTGTATTACAATGAACATCCAAAACACGATGTCCCTACATCACCTCCACAAATTAAGTTTGCAAGGTCAAGCATGGCTTCCTGAAAAACTCCCACACGCGTGAGCTGAGCACCAATCAAGCTTCTAATTTACACGTGTGGAAACTGGAACTTGTAGCTCACCAGCTAAAGAAGCCCTGCCTTTACGACGGCGTCTGCATGTGGATTGCTACACCCCACCGCCCTCAACAGCCTCCACAACCCCTTTGCCCTGCTTTTACTATCACTCCTTCCCTTATTACCCTTCTCATCACCGCCTTCATCAAATGACCTAAACATGGTCGACGGCATCCGTCGGCTCTGCCGGTTTTTTATGTCCCTCAGCTCCATCTCCGTCGGAAACCTCGCCATTTGAAACATCAAAAGATACCACTTGGACCTCGACGGCGTGCTGGAAAGTATAGACACTTTATTCACCTCACACTTTCTGTAACTTACCGATGTGGGATTTTTCGGCTTCGAAGTCTTGGCCGTGTTTGAGGGTTTGGTTATCTTGCGGAAAGAGCAAGATCTCCACGACCAAAAAAACCCTTTTTTCTTCGAAAAGCTAAAGCTTTTCGTTTTCGTTTTGTTTACGGTTTCTTGGCTCTTGATCTTCTGAGTCTTCTGATGACATTTCTCCGCTGCAAAGTTTGGTGCTTCTTTGTTGTAGGGTATAAGTTTTCCGCAAAAGATTATGTCCTTCTCTGCTGGGTACGTCGAGGAGGTGAACTCCTCGCTGACGAACTCGAAGAAGTTGTCATCGTCTTCATAGCGGTCGAACGATGAGCTTTGGTAATCTTTGGAGAAGTCCTCCCAATGAGCCGAGTCACTGTGTGTGGGAAGATCACAGAGAGATAGGGTTTCTTCTGCCTCGTAGGGATCTTGGTCTTGAAATTGTTCTACTTTTTCTTCCAGAGGTGCTGGGTTTTGCTGGGTTTCTAGGGCAACCATTTTTTGGTGGGTTAAAAATTGAAATGGAAGTATTCTGTTGAGCTGGGTTTGTGGAGAGAGAGAGCAAGAAGTACCCAGATATATATAAGAGGCTCGTAAGTAAGCATATTCATAAATAAAATTGAGATTCTTTGAGCCTTTTGTGGGGTATTTTTCAACTTTTGATAGGGATGGCTTCTAGATGGAAAGTCACAAAATAAAATAGGAAAATAGAAGGATTAATAAATGAAAGTTTCAAGACGGCGTGACACTACGTCTTGAATTTACTTAGCTCTTCTAGAAAGAGCAAGCTGTTAGGTATTATTTGGAATAAGTTGTGTGGGAAATAAATTAAAAAATGGGTGAGAGTTGGAGGATTGTATTGTAGTCTTCTTGGGTTCGAAGGGATAATATTTTTTTATGGGTAATGCTAACGAAATTAATTTTAAAGATAAAATTTATAAATTAAATGATGCATTATTAATAAAAATGATGTTTTTTAACGTTTAAATAATATAATCATCAATTTTTATATTTTATCTGCAGATTTAATTTCTTGTGATTACCTTTTTCTTTCGGTGCTTTGTTTAGATGTTTGTGTTTGCTTCTATATACGTGAGAGGATGCTTTTCTTGTCACCACGTGGTTGATTCTATTTGTGTCAACGTAGAGGAGGTGGAGAGACTTTTCAATGTAACCGTCACACAGAGTAGTACACCATGTGTCATTACATAAATAGTGAGATATGTATGTCAAAAAGTTTATAACTTAAAAAATAAAATTTTTCACTACTTACATAAAAACATGTGATATATCACTTGTATTTCTGTCACAATTAAAAATTTCTCGAGGAGGAGGAGGCTATGTAGCTAACCTAGACGGCTATACCAAGATGATGATGTGGTTTGTTTTGTTATTATCAGTTAAAGGTCCATTCTCTTAGTTACTTGATAATGAAAAATTCATGATTACCTATTCGTTTACTCTTGAGTTTTGATATCTAATTTAAATGTGTGATCGTGTATTTTGTGTAAATTCTTTTTCCTTGAATTTTAATTTTAGTCGATTATTTTTTAAAATTTTTAAAATTAATTAATTTTTTCTTTGCACTTTAATTTTAACCGATTATCTTTTTGAACTTTTATAATAACCAATTTCCCTATGTTGTTGGATTTTATAAGTTTTCATCTAATTTTCCATCTGGCTTGATCACGAAAACAATACATGAGAATTATGTGAGGGCAAAAAGGATGAAAAATCGGATAGATGAAAATTGAATGAAAGTTTTTAAAATATAACGCCCGGAAAGGAAATTGGTTATTTATAAAAGTTAAGGGGGTAATTGTTTAAAATTAAAATTCAAGGGAAATTGGCTAATTAAAAAAGTTCAAAAGGGTAATTAGTTCAAATTAAAGTTCAAAGGAGAAATTGACAGCTGCGTACAAATTTAGAAGACAAATAAAAAAATACCACTATTGTCTATTATGTGTTTCAACTAAAATATAATTTTGTTAGATTGTCCCACTAAAGATGTTATTAATTTTCATGTTATAACATAAATAATCAATACATTTATGTTTATAATAATAATAATAATAATAATAATAATAATAATAATAATAAAAATAAAAATTTTGTATTCATGAATGATAACATTTTTTTTTGTCAAACATGAATTATAACATTAATTAATGGAGAATAATATGATATTATTTTAATTATTTTTTTTATTATTATATGTTATCGAGCTAGAAAATGAGGGGTTTTTCTTATGTGCGACTTGTACCTATGGGCCCCACTTTGATGGTAGTATAGCACTCATTTTATGGCCTTGGAAATTTTCATAAAAAAAAATTATGTTGAATCAAATACAAACAAATAAATCATTTTTAATACCAAAAAATTACAATTTCTCTCATCCAAAGATAAGAAAAACTTAACTGGAGGTGGATTAAATTGGAATTCTAGAATTGTGGTATATTTCAAAGCACCGAAAGTGATCAATAAATGTAGTCAAGAAGCCACGTACATAATCAATGCCACATTTTATGGAAGAAAATGAAAATCTAGCTAGCAAAACACTGTTTTCGACTTCTCCAACAAAATTTGTTTCTTAAGGTCAAAACGATGTCCAATATCATAGCCATTTTAAAACTTTGGAAGGAAAGAAAACATTTTGAATTCATTCTTGTGTACGTTATGTGGTGTTTATTAACAATTTATGTTATAACACGTGTATTTATCGATATCAATGAACAAAAATTAACAAGAGTATGCAAGAGATAAAAAGAAGCGTGCATAACACTACCCTCAATTATACTCAACGTTCATGAATTATCAACTATGTCGTCAACATGTATTATAAAAAAGTTTAATAACATCATGTGACAGGATAATATACTTATTCTCGTTGGTAGAAATAAAACTCAATTGATTGGTTTTTACTTAATAGTTCCAGAAGATATGACAATGCATGCGAATGAATATTGCAAGTTCAAATACGCGTTCATCAAAAAAGGCAAAAACTAGCTTATTAAATTCGAACTCTTAAAGTCCAAATAAGTCGTACATATTGTTTGGTTTTATATCATCAAAATTTGGGTCGGATTCGTGGCTATTTCTAGAAAACTACTCGTCAGAAAGGAAAAAGACTAGTCAAGTTTAGAAATCAGGTTAACATAATTAAGCAGCATATCGTATCCCAGTGAAGCAGTTAAGCAAGTATAATTAGTTCAACCTTTATTTGTTGGTTAACTTGTTTACTGGTTAACTAATGCAATCGTTGCGTGGTCTTGAAGGTATTCTTACTGGCACTTCAGTCGCTTCAAACGTTGCTTTTGAAACGCCATCTACTATTAGGGTTCATATAGTAAGGAAATTGATGTTACAACTTGTACAAATGAGTCAAAGAAAGAAAAAAATATTAGATGTTGATAGCACTACCCACAATTAATCGATAAAGGTAAAAATTGACAAACGCGCATAATTTTGCATATTTTTTTGGGAATCTATGTGTGAATCTCAAGACTTACATAGAACGAGTTCATTGCCACGTGACTTCCCTTATCCAATAATGTACTATCACGTGCAAGAGTTTCTCTACATGATACTGTATTATTCGATTGAAACCTTCGTTTGGATGCGGTCCCTAACTACCAATATTCTTTGACTGAAACCTTCGTAGTTTTTAATTTTTGATCAAAATCCTTGACATTAGTGTAATAATGTATTTCTATGTATGCTATTATATTTTTAAATTAAAAATGAAATTTGTAGTTATTTATATTAATGAGATTTTAAATAAAACCCATAATTTATGAGATTAAAAATATTAAAGATGAATTATACTCACCAATATATCGTGTCTATATATATATATATATATACACATATGTAGATGGGTACATTCATCAAAACTAACCAAAAAATTGTTGTACCAAAACATGGGTACATTTTTCAAAAAAAAAAAAGAAGAAAAAAAAAAGAAGATATTAAGCTTAATAACATTATTAAATTTATTCTATTAAACTTGATATGGATACATTCTCAAATCAACGAAATAGAATGTACCCATATAAGTATAAAAAATAGAATAGAGAAAAGATGGAATGAATTTTATATAAAAAATGGGTACATTTTATATTAACAAAAAGTTACAGTTTTCATATAACAAATTGGTATATTTAAGAATGGTTACATATAAGAATAAAAAATTGAGGTACAAACTTAATCTAATTTTATTTTTTATATTTTTAGAAATGTTTGAATAGAAAACTAATTAGGGGTTTAATAAGGGTGTGAGTATTAAAACTCTAAATCAATTACTAATTTTTTTTATAAAAATTATGTACCTGACATGTAATTCATTAATATATTAATGTTACGAACTTTGATCAAAATCTAAAAACTGATAAGGTCTTAGTCAATGAATATTAGAAACTAGAGACCAGATACTAATTTTTCCAAGAAAAAATATTAAATGTTGATAGCACTACCCATAATTAATCGATAAAGGTAAAAATTGATAAACACACATAATTTTGCATATTTTTCGGGAATCTATGTGTGGATCTCATGATTTACATAGAACGAGTTCACCGCCACGTAACTTCCCTTATCCAATAATGTACTATCATGTGCAAGTGTTTCTCTACATGATAATGTATTATTAGATTGTAAATTCATTTCATGTAAGTTGTTCTTATATATGTTACAAATATATAATATTTACATGCAAGGAATTTGTACGTTCGGTAAGTTAAACACATTTATTCAAGTACTCGAATTTTGTCTTCGACTCCCCTTCTCGAGGCCAGCATCTCGTTCTATATATTAAACATATATATATATATATTATTCGGACATATGTTCTTTTATATAAAGGTCCCATTCACATTGATTCATACTGAGAAGAAACAATGTGCATATATAGAAGCCATAAATATATCTTGATGAGCAAGCCTAACCTAATCCCTTCCTCTTGGTAGTTTCACCGGTCCACCACAGATATGTCTGCATGCCCAGCATTCTTACTTGTATTGATGCTAACGTTTTATATCAGCAATATTATATTACTTCCAGAAGAAAGCAAAATGTCGTAGTTTCCAAGTCCAAGCACAGACAACCTGCCAACAGTATCTGTGTAGTCCATTAAACCCTAATATTTATGTCATGTATTAAAGATGTGCCACTTCTAAGTAAAAGGTCTGATTCGAGAAGTTGACAAACTGTGACAAAGTTGTTGTGGTTTTTTTATATTTTATGTTGTCTATTTACAAAAGTTAAAATCTTTTCTTTTTAATATACACGATCAGGATTGCGTCAATAGAAAACAAAGGTTGAAGCCATCGATCAATTGGCCGTTGTAAGTGGTTGATAAGTTTTCCGACTACTTTTCCTTTTTGACGGGAAAGTAGGTGGTTTTGGTTTATTTTGTTTTTTAATGCCTTCTAGAGGATGATTGGAAAGACATGTTTAGGGCGAAAAAGAACAATGATGTTCAGGCTACTAGCTAGTTTTTA